CCACTTTTATAAGAGGAACAGATATACACACAGGGACCAGTGTTTATTGGTGGTTACCAGGGATGGATGGGGGGAACAGAAAATCACTCTCTACCTCATAGACACTTGTCATTTTTGGTGATGGGAAAAGTAGTACTGAATGTGGATATAATGATCAAAACCTGATCAAAGTAAACTAGGCCACTAAGAAGCACTGAAGAGAAAAGGATGCTTGTGCAAAAGAATATGACGTATATAATTTAGAAACAACAATAACGAGTATATGGTCACATATGTATGTGTGTAGGCATGTACATGTATGAGTAGGTACAGGTGTGAATATATATGTGCACAGATAGAAGTATATATGTATGTATGTGTGTGTGTACAAATAGACATGTGTAAGCACACAGGTATGTTCATAGATGACAGTTAGAGATACTTTTCAGATATAACCAAAACACATAGTGAGATTGGTTTTCTGGGTTTGAGGCTTAAGATCTTAGTCTCATGGAACAACTAATTCAATTGGCCTAATATAGTCCACAGAGTTCATGTTCTGTACCCTAGGAAGGTGAACTTCACATTTTGGTACCCAGCTGCACTTTCCACTTACCATCCTCAATAAGGTGTCTCATAGTCTTCTCAAACTCAACATTTCCAAAACTGAACTCTTGATCTTCACCCCAAACCTGAGCCTGCCGCAACCTTCACATGTCCAATGCCGGTAATGCCACCCTTCCGTTGCTGAAAGCAAAGTCCTTATATTCATCCTTGACTCCTCTTCATCCAGCCCCATCTGTTAGGAAATCTAGGTGGCTCTGCATCAGAATATATCAAGATCCAATCACTTCTCGCCATTCTCTTGTCTGGAACATTGCAAACTGCTCTTCCTGCTTCAATCCACGATTTAAAGACTGTTAGCACAGGAACCAGATGGAGTCTGTGATGATATAAGTCAGATCATGTCACTGCTGCGTTCCAAGCCTCCAGTGGCCCCATCTAATTCAGAGGGAAAGTCAATAACCTTACAAAACGTCCACAGGCCAGGTAGGTCAGGGTCATGCAACCTCTGCCCTACCGTTTCCTATGATTTTATCCTTGGCTCCAGATACTCCGCCAGCGTAATGCAGCCTCAAAGCCTCTGCAATGACTGCTCCTTCTGCCCAAAACACTCTTCCCCAACATACGCACAGAGCTCCCGCCTTCACTCCTTTAGCCCATTACTCAGAAGTCAGGTTTTCAGTGAGACTCCCCCAATCACACTAAAATGGAATTCCCCTGTCTCCCTGTCCCCATCTCCACCTTTATTTTCCTCCTCAGCATTGTGGCCATTTACTATAATATCTATTTTACTAAATAGTCATCTGCTTCCCCAACAAAAAGATAATAACAATGGTGGCAATTTTTATATTGGCACACTGTACTTGGTGAAATACCCATGTTGTGGATTGAATTGTGTCTCCCAAAAACATATGTTGTCAATCCTACCCCCGTTCCTGTGGTTAGCTCCCATTTGGGAATGGCTTTTCTTCTTTATGTTCACCAGGTACTATTAGCGTACTGTGTGTCTTACGGCAATCTCTTTTGAGGTATGGAAAAGCAGAAGAAGGAAGCAAGCCAGCCGGGGGGCGGGGAGATGCCAAACCACGTGAAGATCACCAAGGAACCTAGAAACAGAAGCTGAAAAGAGACAAGGACTTTCCTCCAGAAGCAACAGAGGGAAAGCCTTCTCCTAGAGCCAGCACCTTGAATTGGGACTTCTAACCTCCTAAACTGTGAAAAAAATAAATTTCTGTTTGTTAAAGCCATCCACTGGGGCTATTTCTGTTACAGCAACCCTGGAGAACTAAGACACACCGTAAACACTTGTTAAACGAATACGTGTAGTCAGGGCCTACTGTGTGCAGGATATTGACTGAGTTGGGCACTGTCACAGGACAATGTGATGGTGCTTGAGACTGCTGCACCCATATTTGAACACACAGAGAAGCACTGCAGACACAGGACCAGCATGATAGATAAGAAAGACTGGGTCCATGGTGGCCTTGGTAAGTTGCTGAGCCAAACCTGGGTCACCTGCCTCCTATTGTCCCCTGTGGCAGTTAAGGTTGTGTGTCAATTTGGTTGGGCTGTGGTTTTGTGTCTGGACAGCTGGAAGTAGTTATTTCCCATGATGAGACTGTAATCACCTCCATGGTAGAATCTGCTGTGAGCTGCTAAGTAGCTGCCTTCAGAGCATGGCCCACTTCCAGTATCTAAGGAGAAGTTTTTGGAAAGGTCTCTAGCTTTCTGATACATCTGGATCCTGTGTTTGGCTGACTCTTCATCTCAATAGCCTGCCGTGTTGCCTGCCGATCTTGGGGTTGTTCCTGGACTGGAACCAGTGTCTGCTGTGTTGTTGTCTGATCTTAGGACTGTGCCATTTTGCCTGAAGATCTTGGATTCATCAGCCTCAGCAGCCAGAAGCTTCATGAGTCAGAAGAAGCCTGCAGCTTTAGTGGGCCTAGAACAGGAGGCAGAGCTGAAGCGCAAGGTGGAGGGGCCTTCACCCAGCCCCTAGAACCAGCACTTTGAACTCAGATGTCTATCCACCTAAACTGGAAGAGAATGAATCCATGTTTGATAAGTTATCGACTTGTGGCATGTCTACTGCAGCAGCACTAAAGAGCCAAGACATCCTCTCACAGACAAAATGAACATCCAGGCTGTTGAGGAGCTCTGGTGGTGCAGTGCCTAAGGCACTTGACTTCTAACCAGAAGGCTGGCAGTTCAAATCCACCAGCCACTCCTCGGAAAGAAGGTTGGGCAATCTACTTCCATAGTGATATTGTCTCGGAAACCCAAGGAGGGGTCGCTATGAGTCAGATCTGACTTGATGGCACATGACAACAACCACCACCACCAGGCTGTTGAAACCACCTCAGGTTATTTCTGCCTCTTGCAGCCAATGGTGTCCTAATGAGGCCATGAGTGCTTGGGGACATGAGGTATAAGTCACCCACCACCTTCGGGGCTTTTCTCTTGGGGTGCAGGACTCCTACTGCTCTGCCTCCAGGCTCTCTGGCCAATATTTTCTGGGGTTAGTTACAGTTGTGTGCAATTGGTGGCTCACATCTCCAGTCTTCTCAATGCCTGCCCTTCCTGCGATAGAAACAGGTGCCCAGGGCTTTGTTGAAAGAGACCTTGGCTTTCTCAAGCCAGGGCAGCAATGCCAAGCCACCCTTTGTACCTTGCACTATCCCAGTGGACTGGGGGCACCAGGGGTTCCACGTTTCGATGTCTGTAATCTTCAGACTTTCTATTTCGAGCTGATATTTAGTTGATAAATTTTTTTTCCAAAAAAAGGAAAAAAACTAAAAGTTGAGTTTTTGAGTGTCAAAAGGAAACTGAAAGTGAAATTCTCAACAATAAAAGAAAATGTAGCCCAAGAGCAGCACAGCACCAGTGCACCACCTTCCCTTCGCTATGGCTCTGGTAAGTCTGTTGAGACTCTCCTTGGTCCTAAGGGGGAGGCACCTCTCCTGGAAAGGTCTCAGTCTGGTTGCCGCCCTTGGGGACAGTTAACTTCAATGTTCATCTTTTGAAAATTCTCATGGACAGTGCCTTTGTCTTCTAAAATTCTCTCTCTCTCTCTCTCTCTCTCTCTCTCGGCCTTTCTGAGCTGAGTTGACCTCTTCTCTGGGTCTAGCACAAAGAGGGGAGAACAGGGACCCTGGGAAGGGGTCTGTGTCTGCCTAGGCCAGGAGTCCCTACTAACTCAGAAGCAGCTGGGAAGACACCTGAGTGTGCGCCTGGGGAGACCCCGGGTCTCTGGGAAGGGAGCAAATCCCCATTTTGTCTGTCCCTGGAGCTAGCTGGGGTTCAGTTCCTTCTCTCTACAAACAGCTCCTCTCTCTCTCTCTCCCTCTTTCTCCCTCCCTCTCTCTTCTTTCTCCCTATGGCATTTGTCCCCCCTTATAAAGTTCATTTTAATTTCAGCCTCTGATCGCTGAAATCTCCCCTGCCCCGAGTAGCTCCAGTTACCTGAATCAGTAAATTTTCAGGAAGTCTCAGGTCCAGCTTAGTGGTGTTAGATGAAAAGGAACGAGGTGGGCTCGTACAGTTATGGGAAATGGAACAGTTGCAGGAAGATATGTCTCCTGTCCCAGTGGAAGGAAGAGCATCTGGAATGGCTCTGGAAAGACATAGACCCTGCCCGGTGCTGGCCCCCTGTCCATTACCATGTCAAGGCAAGGAGACAAGCTAAGATTCTGACTTCATACTGATTGCTGTTGATGGTTCCCTGGCCGTGGCCTTAGACATTTGAGGACACAGTGAAAAGTCCCCATGTGCTCCCAGTTGGAAACCATCTCTAGTCCTGCTGAGCCTCAGCTGACATGCTCCTTTGGATGGGCTAGAGTGGGAGCTAGTGGGCGTCCTGGCCCTGCTGAGAGTGTAGAAACCTGGCCATGTCACTCAGAAGCCAGTGGTGCCCAGGCTTATGAAGTTGTCCAAGCTTATGGAGTGGTGGGGATGGACTCAAGACATATGTCCAGGTGATCAGATAGTGGGGCACCGCTGAGCTGCACCCTCCTAACTGAGCCCTGCCCCACTTCCAAAGTCTCCTGCTGCCTCTAACAGCCCTGTTCTTGGTTTTGCAGCCAGAGCCCAAGCCTGGGGACCTGATTGAGATTTTCCGCCCTTTCTACAGACACTGGGCCATCTACATTGGTGATGGATATGTGATCCACCTGGCCCCCCCAAGTAAGGGCCGCTGGGCTGGGCCCTGGGGCTGGGAGGAGAGGGAGATGGGGGAGCTGTGGGTAGCAGGTGACCCTGCCATCCTCCCTGCCTCCTGACTGGTGGTGGGTTCCATACTGTTAAAAGAAGTCCATTTCTGTGGGGCAGTGGTTCTCAAACTTTGCCTTGGAACCCAAGAGGTTCTGTAGATGAGCTGAAGTGGGTGTCCAGCCAGGTAGCACTGGTTTTCCATGTTTTACATATTATGACATCCTACAAAACTGGTTCAACTCTTAGTTGTAAAACCCCTGGAAAGAGCACTGGTGTTTGGACAGATAGACTTGTTACGAATCCAGTTTCTACCCTCCAGCCTTGGTTTCCTTGCCTATAAACTAAGGCCAAAAATACTTCACTAGAAGAACCATATTAAGTAATTCACGGTACCACACCTATTTCTCCATTTCAGTAGATGACACCATCCAATTACTGTGGCCAAATGCTTAGGAGTCACCCTCAGTTCTTTTCCTTTTTCACCCCATATCTAATCCTTTAGGAAATCCTATTGGCTTTGCCTCCAAAACAGACCCCAGATCTTCCTTCTCACCATCCCTGCTGCTACATCCCTGGTGAAAGCTCCCACCCTCTGTCACCTAGACACAACCGTGGCCTCCAGCTCCTCTCCCTGCCTTTTGTCCACTCATGGTCAGTGTCTCCATAGTGGGCAACAGCATGGTCATTCTCAAGTGTAAAACAGATCATATCACTCCTTTCCTTCAAAGTCTTGTTCTGGTTCCCTAGTGCTGCCCCAACAAGAAATATACCACAAATGGGATGGCCTTAACAAACAGGAGTTTATTCTTACAATTTGGAGGGTTTATGTCCAAGTTCAAAGTGCCAGACTCTAGGGGCTAGGTGAAAGCCCCTCAGCCTTGGGCTTCAGCTCTGCCTCCAGGTCCCAGCCCGCTGGAGCTAGAGGTGTTTCTTCACTCAGACAGCTGCTGGCTGCTGAGGCTGACAAACCCAAGGTTGAGAAATAAAAAGACACAGTCCCAATGTTACCAAACCACATGGCAGGCCATTAATTCAAGTCCACTGAAAGTCCCAAGGTCAGCAGAACATAGCAGGCTGCTGAACAATGACACGGCTATATGCAGGGTCCAAACGTGCCATAGGCTAGAGACAGTTCCCAAAGCTGCTTCTTATAAATGGGAAGCAGACCACACACCCAAAGCAGCTACTCAACTGCTTGTGGTAGATCCCACCCTGGAATTAATTTCCAGTCTCATCATGGGGAATAACTACCACCAGTTGTCCAGCCACTCAACCAGGCCTAGCCAAGATGACACGCAAGCATAATCACCACAATTCTCAATCAGCTCACACATAGAATATTGACTGTTAGCCAGAAGGCTGGTGGGTCAAACCCACCATCCACTCCTTGGAAGGAAGACTGGGCAATCTACTTCCACAGAGATACGGCCTCAGAAACCCAAGGAGAGGTTCTTATGAGTCGGAATCAACTCGACAGCAGTGAGTTTGGTTTTTTTGGAGTTTAGAATAAGATTCAAAGTCCTTGTCCTGACCTTTTGGGCCTGGTGTGGTCTGGCCTGTCAGCTTCTTGGAACCTCATCTTCCTCTTCTCTCCTCCAGGGTCTCTAGACTTCAGCCACAGTGGTCTCCTGGCTGGCCCTCAGCCATGCCAAACTCTTTCCTTCCTGAGGTCTTGCCCTTGCTGTTCCTTCTGCCAGCGATGCTCTTCCCTGGATCTTGGCACAACTGTCTCCTCCTCATCACTCAGGTCTCTAGAGATGCTAGAAAAGCCTCTTTCATGAACCTCTCCTCTGTGACCTCACTGAACTTTCTTTACAGATATCCAGCACCTGAAAGAAGATGCTGAGGTATCTGCTTTTGTTTGCTTATTCCTTGTGGATGCCCCCTCACTAGATGTGAGCAACTGGAAGACCAGCCCAGTCCACAACCTCCAGCACCTAGTACAGGCCTGGCACACAGGAGCCCCCAGTATCAATTGTCTGTCTACACCAAACAGCTGTACTTGGTGAATGAGAGTCAGGGGCAGGCCTGACAGGGAGCAGCTGGGTACAGTGTCAGGGAGTGAGGACTGTGTGGCAGCAGACACCTCTACCTACATCTTCTCATTTGAGCTTCGTAGGACTCTTGTGAGATGGCTGAGGCAAGGAGGACTGACCTCAGGCCAATGAGAAAACAAATTTCAGATGGTAGAGATTAGTGTCAGAAGGGAGCCTAGAGAACAACTCCAACAATAGCGGCAGGTAACACTCGCTGAGCACTGGGCCAGGCATAGGAGAGCACTTTATGGGGCCAGCTCCTTCCATCCTCACAGCTGCCCTTGTGGTGGGGCTATTATTATCCCCATTGTACAGCTGAGGAATCGAGGAGTCTGAGAAGTTAAGTAACCAAACCAAGGACACGTTGCCTGTAGGAGGGGGACTCAGACCCTGGCAGTCAGGCTCCTGGTTCTGTGCCTCCAACCTTGATGCTGTGCCGCCCGGCGGGATGGTTCCCAAACTCAGTCGTTGCTTTACTGGCATCATGACTTTTTGTCATATCCACATGACGTTTCTATCATTGTTTGCTTAACTTTTTCTTTAATAGATTAAGTTTTTTGCATAGATAACTATTTTAAAAGGAACTTGAAGTCGTTATAGGAATGTGTAGTTGTGTATCAATTGTAGTGTTTGTTAGGGACCTCCTGCAGCATTGGCTCAGCAGGCTTAGGTGACAGGTCAGGAGCACTCAGCCAGAGTCAGAGCCCAGCATTTCTGACCTTCTGCCTGTTCACCCGTGTACCATGCACTAGGGCAGCACCAGGAGTGCAAAATTTAAGGAGACCCTCACTCTCAGATGTGAACCCTGCCCTTGCACAACCTTCAGAGCGAGTGCCTCCTTAAGTCTTGTGACCTAGTTGCCTTGCCTGCCTTGTCCAGCTCCTAACCGTATCACCCACCCGACCTGGGTGCTGAACCTGACAAGGGCCCAGGAGCTCACCTGTGTCCCAGGACTCTCTGTGTCCACGCTGACCCTCTCCACAAGCTCAGGGCTCAGATACAGCAGCATCCCCTTTATTTACTTCAATGAATCTCTCAAGCATCACCTGCCTGCTTACTAACAAGTCTGAATCCCCTAGATTTTCTGAAGCCTCCAGATCCTACTTGGGTCATGGGGTTCAGTCCTCTTTGCAAGGCCAAGCAGAGTAGGACTTGGAGTCTGATCAGTCCCTCCTGCCATTGCTTGTTTCTGTCACATGATGTCACAGGTGAAGCCTGGTCCTGCCCAGTTCAACAGGCACAGCCCTAGCCGCTCTGTGAGGGAGAATGAGCTTCCTTTCACGATGGACTCCTGTAGTCACCTCTTTAGGTCACAGCCACCTTTTCAGCCATCGTGCCCAAAGCATGCTCTCCGTCTCCCCTATTCCAGGTTGGCTGTGTTTGGAGGGTGCCCCCTCTCTGAGCTGGCATCAGCTCCCCTCACAGCCACCCTGGCCTCGTGTTGAACCCAGACTCCCTTGCATCAAGGTGATTTCATTTCTGGGGCTCTGTGCTCCTTCTCGCTGGGACTGCACCTGTTTACCCACCATGGCACACTCACTTCTTATCTCAGCATGCGGCTGTGGGGTTTGGTCCTTTTGCTCACAGAGGGGTGGTGGGACTCCATGTGCAATTCCCATCCATCTTTTCTCCATGATTACCTTTGCATATATCAAGGAGGTGGAGCCTTGATGGAATATGAAAGAGTCACAACTGTTCCCCCAGAATTTTGGATGTGCACTTGGCCTACATCTGCATAATCAAGATGGCCACTCAGGTGCCCCTCTTCTAGCCAACATCTCTAGCTCATGAAAAAAAAAAAAAAAAAAATTACAACAAATCATGGAACTGCTCATTTCAGATCATGAGACCAGGGCCCAGAGCCCACAAGCACCTTCTCCAAAATCAGAACAAGTCTGACCATCCCCCTTGGCCCCTCCACATCTTGCCCATCCCCTCGTGGATGGTGCTGGGGCCGGCTCAGCCTCTTTGGTCATGCCAAGCACTAATCCTTCTGTTTCCTCTTTGCGGATCCACAGGTGAAATCCCTGGAGCTGGTGTGGCCAGTATCATGTCTGCCCTGACGGAGAGGGCCGTAGTGAAGAAGGAACTGCTGTACGATGTGGCCGGACGGGACAAGTACCAGGTCAATAACAAGCATGATGCCAAGTACCCACCACTGCCTCCCAGCAAAATCATCCAGCAGGCGGAGGAGCTGGTGGGGCAGGAGGTGCTGTACAAGCTGACCAGCGAGAATTGTGAGCACTTTGTGAACGAGCTGCGCTACGGAATCCCCCGCAGTGACCAGGTGCGTCCCCTCAGCCTGTGTTCCTTTCCTTCAGCTGAGAGTGGCCGGGCCTCTGCTGTGGACTTGGCCAAGGTACACACAGAGCCATGGTAAGGCCAGAATAGCAGAGATGGGATGTCCCTGGTCCCACATCTCCATGGATGGTAAAGCACCTCTCTTGGGATATCCTCTTCCCTCTGAGTCCTTTCCTTCTCAGCCTTTTTAGTGGGGGCCATGCTGCTCCAAGCAGGGGAACAGGGCCATGCTAACAATAGAAGATGCACTTACTGCTTCTTAGAGTTTGTCACTCTGAAAACAAAATGCTGTCATGGGCTTGGGTGCCGGCAGTGCTGACCCAGACCAGCCCTTGACTTTGGTGTGTACATGGACCCTTTGCAGTGAGTCACCACAGATCACTGTGTTGCCTCATTTGAGCAGAGCAGGGGGTGTCAGCCTGAGAGTGGGTGCAGGGTGCCTGATCATGCTCACACAGAATCCTGAGCTCAGCCCTGCTGAGATACAGGAGTCGGTCCGGGAGACTCTAGCGGATGTTTTGTTCATTTACTTAGTTTGATTTCTGCCCAATTATTTCATATTGCCCCCTCTCTTCTTTGAATTTCTTTTCCCCCATTCTGTCTCAAATCAACACAGTGACTACAGCAATGGGCTTGGGTATAGCAGGGATTGTAGGCTGGTGCAGGACCCGGCAGTGTTTTGTTCTGCTGGACATAGGGTTGGTATGAGTCGGAGACGGCTCGACGGCACCTGACAACAACAACAATCTAATCATCTAATTTTAAGTTATTCTTTCTCTGATTATGAATAAAATGAAGAATAAATTCACAAGTTTATACAAGTGCAGCATTCTTATGTCCATGCAAAATTGTTACATAACTTAGTAAAATACATGTATCATCAGGCACAGATAATGTGTAGATGAATCAAATAAAATTCTAAATCTTGAGATAGCAAAATAAGAAATATTTTCTACCATTTACTCTTTTCATAAATAATAATTAAACTCTTACTGTAAAATAAAGCTATACAAATTGGATACATCACACTTTTTTCCTCTGCCTTTAGCCCCTGGACTACCTGGTTACCTCCAGTTCTGTTGTAACAGAAATTGCCCCAAATTAGCTGTTTTAAGCAAACAGGGATTTACTCTCTTACAGTTTAGGAGGCTAGAAGTCTGATCAAAATGTCATTTCGAGGGGCTGGGTGAAGGCCCCTCAACCTTAGGCTTCGGCTCTGCCTCTTGCTCCCAGCCCACTGAAGCTAGAGGCCTCTCTTCACTCAGGCAGCTGCTGGCTGCTGAGACTGACAAACCCAAGGTTGACAAATAAAATGGCATAGTTCCAAGATTATCACACAACATGACAGGCCACTAGTTCAAGTCCAAGAACAGTCCCAAAGTCAGCACACAACATGGCAGGCTGCTGAATGAAGACTCAGCTACATGCAGGGTCCAAGCATGCCAAAAAGCTGCAGAAACCTTTCTCAAAATTTCTCCTTACATCCTGGAAGCAGTCTGCATCCCTAAAGCAGCTACTCAGCTGTTCCAGTAGATTCCACCATGGAGCTGATTACCAGTCTCATCATGGGGAATACTACATCCAGCTGAACAGCCACCCAAAACCAGGCCCAACCAAGTTGACACACAACCTTAACTACCACACTACTCATACACATGAAAGAGGCAAGACAACAACAACAATAAAACAGCATGAACCCCATCACAGAAAATTAAACCAGACTACAAGGCAAACAGAGGTGTCATCTGTACAGTTTCTATAGAAATGAGTAGATTCCACCTTCTTGTATTTAATCCTATTCTGTGACTGTGTGCAAAGCATGACCACAAACAATAAGGTCGTTGTCATTTTCCTTGACAAAGTCATATTGTAGGAACCAGTTGCATCAGCATCCGTTGTCCCACTGTGAGGTTCTGTAAAACACTGGGGGCATATTGTTCCTCCGTTATCTGCAACCCATTCCTCCCACCCTGATACATAGCTTAGTAAGGAAAACACTGGATACAAGTGATGTTATGCAGATAGATTCTCTAGCAGAAGTTAACCCAACAGACTCACAGCTGTAAAAAAATTAAAAAAAAAAAAGCCTAATTCCCTTTTCTCACTGCTATTGAGTCAATTATGACTCAGAGTGACTCCACAGGGTTTTCAAGGCTGTAAATGTTTATGGAAATATATTGCCTAATCTTCCTTCCATGGAGCGGCTGGTGGGTTTGAACCTCTGACCTTCTGGTTAGCAGCCAAATGCCTTACCCACTATACCACCAGAGCTCCTCAGGAGCTCCTGTAAGGAGCTCTGGTGGCCCAGTGCCTAAGCCATTTGACTGCTAACCAGAAGGTCAGAGGTTCAAACCCACTAGCCGCTCCATGGAAGGAAGACAGAAAATCTACTTCCTTAAAGAATAACTGACTCAGAAACCAAATGGGGGTCACTATGAGTCAGATCTGACTCGTTGGCAGTGGGTTTGGTTTTGGTTTGGTAATTCTCTTTTAGAACCAAACAAAATCCCTTTTAGAGGAAGGTTTAAAGACTGACCACCAGTTGAGCCTGGGGTCTGGAGCTTCCTGCAAACTTTGTCCTCTGATTTCTGGCTGCTAAGTATGGTTTCTGTTTCTCCAGATTGGTTTGCTTGTTTGTTTGCTTTTCGTGTTTGTGTTGCCGTCTATATTCGAGGCCTTCCTCAGATGACTGGTATCCTTGTGCTGCTCATGGTGTTAACCCAATAGTAAGGGAAGCTCTGAGTGGTGGGAGGACCAGTCGCTTGTTGACTTTGAATTTTTCCTGCAGGGTTATCTGGGTGGTCTGTTTGTTTGAAAACTCCCAGAATTGGTACATTTTTTTGTTTCCTCTTGGGCTGCTCAGAGTCCCAGAAAAGTCTTGTAATAATCCTGCATGAAGGAGGCAGTTCTGGGAGTAGAGAGTGTTAGGGGAGCTGAGAGTCTTACATTACCATTTTGCTGGTCTCTCAGTCTCTTTGTTTAGGGTATAATCTTCATATGCTTACATGAGATTCTATATTTCTGGCCCCCAAAATCCTGTTGTGCCCTTTTCAGATAATAAGCTTTTAGATTTTTGTTGGGGTGAAGAAGGAAGTTTAGGGACCTATCAGGAGCTCTCTCTCTCCTCCCTCCCACTTCCACAGATAACTGGGGTTGTCAACATGTGATCCTGGCTGACGGTTCTCTGGTATAATTAGGTGTTTCGGTTACCTGGTGCCACTCTGAATATACCACCAATGGGATGGCCTTAACAAACAGGAGTTTATTCTCTTAGTTTGGAAGCTTCAAGTTCAAGTTCAAAGTGCCAGGCTCTTGGGGCTGAGTGAAAGCCCCTTGACATTGAGCTTAGCTCTGCCTCTTGCTCCCAGCCCACTGGAGCTAGAGGCATCTCTTCACCCAGGCAGCTGCTGGCTGCTGAGGCTAACAAGTCCAACGTCGACAAATAAAATGGCACAGTCCCGATGTTACCAAACCACACGGCAGGCCATTAATTCAAGCCTATTGTAAGTCCCAAGGTGGGCAGAGCAAAGCAGGCTGCTGAACATCAACACCACTACATGCAGAGTCCAAGCGTGCCATAAGCGAGAGACCATTCCCCAAGGCTTCTCCTTATACACAGGAAGCAGACCCCAGCCCTAAGGCAGCTACTCAGCTGCTCCCAGTAGATTCCACCGTGGAGTTGATGACCAGTCTCATCATGGGAATACTCCATCCAGCTGCCCAGCCACTCAGCCAGGCCCAGCCAAGGTGCCACACAAACTGAGCCGCCACATTAGGCCTGACACTCAGCTTTCTCTATTGCTGCCTTCGGATTCGTGTTCTGTGGGTCTGCTCAGTCAGAGGCTTTCTGTCTGTTTCCCAGCTTCTATATTTTGCTCTGGTTGGGTTCCCTTTGTTCTCTCTGTCCTTGTGTAGTTATGCCTCAAACACATGCTTAGTGGGTTTCAAGAAGTGAAATTTGACATATGTTCCATTTTTACTCTTATTTTTCAAAACTCTATTTTCATTTTCTACAGTAGAAGAAATGCACAGTCAATGTAAGTCAAATATTCCATAACTGTAGTCACATCGCCATTGTTCATAGTGGAGTCATTTACTTAGAATACATAAAGCACAGCTCTGTGCCTACAGAACTGAGCGCTGGGAATGCAGTGACAAGCAGGCCCCATGAGGTCCTTGCTCTCCTGGAGGTCACAGTTCATGGACTCTTCATAATAGCAGTTGCTCTCAACTTCACACTTACTTCAAGGTTCCCACTTGGCCATGCTGGCTCTGTCTCCGTGACCTTCCCAGGGTCACCCTCTGAAGATTTGTGTGTCAACAGAGTTTCCCACCTGTGGCTCATGTGAATTCCAGGCCAGCTGGTTCCATGTACTAGTTCTTTCCCCATCCAGCTCTGTCCTCCCCTCTCCCCTGCCAATATTTGTTGACTTCCAAGTGGGCTGGGGAGGCCAAGGGGTATGTGAGGTGACCTGAACTTAATGTCTCTGTTGACTATAACCCAGTGGTGCAGTGGTTAAGCACTCAGTGGCTAACTGAAAGGTTGGAGGTTCAAACCAACCAGCCACTCTGTGGGAGAGAGATGTGGCAGTCTGCTTCCATAGGGTTACAGCCTTGGGAACCTGACGGGGCAGTTCTACTCTGCCCTACAGAGCTGTTATGAACTGGAATTGACTCACTGGCAGTGGTAGTGGGGTTGGGGATGAATGTACAGCCAGCCTGTGCAGATTCCTGACACAGAGTCTGACCCCCTCTCTTTCTTTGCAGGTCAGAGATGCTGTCATGGTGGCTGGCTTCGCTGGAGCGGGCTTGGCAGCCATGGGCCTTGTTGGAGTCATAGTCTCAAAATACAAGCGGCAGCAGCAATAACTTGGGGAGACTGCCCTGTCAGCAGTGACTTTCTACGTTGAGGGGATCTCATTTTGCTAGAGGGTGTGGGGTTTGGTTTATGGATTTCATTTGGTTTTATAATAAGGCTTATTTTCACAGAATATAATAAAGCCCCACAAAGGAGGATTTTACTGGGGGAAATGCAACAAGAATGGCCCAGTGTGAACTCTGTTCCTGGTGACACCAGCTCGTGCCCTGGCCCAGCTGCCATACTCTCTCACTTTCTCTTTGAGGGCTGTGTTCTCTGGGCTCTTTTCATTGTCAGAACTGGAGTCCAACTCCTTACCTCAAGTACCTGGGCGTCTGTAGTTGTGGGGAAGACACTGGGGCTGTGTGAATCTGATGGAGATACAAGCACAGGAACCGTCAGCCAGCCAGGACCCTCAGTCTGGAACTAGATCCAAGATGGCGCCCGGCACCTCCACAGCTGGAGTCTGTAGATGCAGATGTTCAGTGGAGTTAAAAAGAAATCCTCCGCCACCAAGGAACACAGTAGAGGCTCTTGCCAGTTTTACCAAAACCTCCCTCATTTCTCTTTGCTCCCCACATCTCTTCCCTGCCTCATAGCTTCCTCGTCCTCGGCACACCTGCTTCCTTGCCACTTGAGCCCCCCTCCACCCCTCAAGTCATCCCGCATCCCTCCCAGCTTCCCTTTCAGCATCTGCTCCCCTCAGCTCCCCCACTGCCTGTGGCTCCCCGTGCCCCCATTTCATGTTCCTGAGCGAGGCCCTAATTGGCTTAGCCGACCACATCCTAGCTATGCCTACTGATTGAGTGCTCTTGAGTCAGGTGACCTCCCTGGGCCAATCAGCTCTGCCTAATGGAACCAGGCTCACATGATACAAATGTGGCCTCAGACTTTACTGGGCTGAGGATGTGGCTAGACCATGATTGACATCCCTGTGCCATTGAGCCCTCATGGAGGGGCTGAGTTTGGCACTGTCCACCGTCTAGTCCCTTCTCATCTGCTTGGATCCTGGATCAGGGAGACTTACCATAAGTCTGAAGCTCATTCATTCCTCTATGAAATATGGTGCCCTAACCATCTACTTCTTTTTGTAAAAGAAATAATTGAAACTTAAGCCCTCTTTTCTTCCTTCAAAATGCTCATTTCATTAAGGAGAGAAGTTGGGGAGAGCAGGAGGGCTTCCATCCCCTTCCCCTTCAGCCATAACTGGCTTTGGCAGACAGTTCTGGAGTCTGGAGTCTGAAGGGAGTGTCATTGGGCCAAACTCTGAGTGTCAGCAGGGCTGCACTCCCTCCACATGCTCCAGGGGAGAACCCCTTCTTTGTCTCTTCTTTTCTGGTGGCTGACAGCTTTCCTTGGCTTGTGGCTGCATCACTCCAGTGGTCATCTCTGCCTCCATGGCCACATTCCCTACTCGTCTTCTGTGTGTGTCAAATCTCCAGGACTCTCTGGTTTTCCCATTTATGTCCATCTGGGCCCTGGCCAGCCTCCTTCCTGCTGCTGGAGGAATGTAGGTCCTCTAGGCCTACACCTCTTTCCCCATCTGGGTGGATCACCAAGGATAGTGCTCCTTGCTTCACCCTCTAATTCCTATTCCTGCCTCAGACTGACCAAAACCTGGAGCTGCAAGTTTGTCCTAGAATCTTCCTCTCTCCCCTTCCCTGTATGTCCTCTGCCTCCATAGCCCCTATTCATCCAATTACCCTTGATCTGTGCTCAGAGCCAAGCAGCCCAATCACTCTGCTCTTACCTAGTGAGGTGATTATGAGTCAGAATTGATTAGGTGGCAATGGGGATTTACCTAGTGACGAGTGTGGAGTCCAGGGAGTCCCCTTGTTCAATCTAGCTCAGCACATTTTATTTGTAACCCTCTGCTGCCTGGCCAGAGCTCTAGTGGCTAAAGCATTCGGCTTCCACCTAACTGTTGGTAGTCCATACCCACCAGCTGCTCCAAGGGAGGATGATGAGGTAATCTGCTTCCATAAAGATTTATAGCCTTGGAAACTCTATGGGGCAGTTCTCCTCTATCCTAGAGGCTCACTAAGAGTTGGAATTGACTCAGTGGGAGTGGATTTGGTTTTGTTTTTGCTTCCTGGTCCTGGCTATGACCTGGGTGCCTTCTGGGCCTCAGCAAACTCATTGCTTGGTTGGGAGTAGGGGTTGGAACAGCTTGGTGGTTTTGGAAAAGCTTGGTGGTTTTGGAAAAGACTGAAGGTCTTTCAGTGTGGGCAACCCTGGATAAGGTGCCCCACGAGCCGGACTTGGTGTGGGATGGAAGTCTTGGAAGGCGACCGCTTGATCCCAGCAGAAGATCGGGTGCCATGGTGGTGCCATGTAGGCACCACCTGAGGCTGATCCTTCTTGTAACTCAGATGTTGGTTCCATTGTTTTATTTCCGTCTGGAGTGTGCAGAGGCTGTGTGGGACTTCCTGGAAGCATAGCCTTTGTCTGCACTGAGACACAACCTGGGTCATAGCCACAGGAGGCCTCTCTGTTGGCAGTGACAGGAGGTTGGTCGAACTAAGCAGACATCAAGAAACCCCTGGGGGCCCCAATTCCTGTGGAGAAGTAGGAAAATGCCATGGGTCTGGTCCATGAGACCGTCTGCAGTCAGGCCTACTTTACAGACCAGTAGCTCTCTCCCTGTCCTCAGTGACCTGGTCCCCAGCTTTCGTCACGTGTCCATGGGATCAAGAGCACATGGGCCATGACAGTAGTTGGTTCTGCAGAGACCCTGAAGACCCTGGAGAATTTCCAGCTTCAGTTCCAGTCCACCTGAATCCTCACAATAAAGCTCTTTGTTCTAAGACCCTGAGGAGGATAAGCTACTGGTGCTTGCAGCACACCCACATGCCCCACAGTGAGGATTCAAAGCCCCTCCCCAATCTCACCCCTCTTCCTGTCCTGTTTGCCCAGGATGTTGCAGCCTGTGAGTGGATGCCAGCCCAGAGATACTTATTTGGGGCTTTGAGAGGGATAGCACTCTAATTCGTATTAAAAAAAAAAAAAAAAAGCAGCCTCACCCCAGACCCAAGGGAAAGTGGTTTCCATTCAAATGTACACATCAAGTTTTGGTTTCCCTTCTTTCCTACTGTTTTCCAGACATACTTGATGACTGGACATGTGCTCTGGTCCTTTTTCGAGATAGGGCAATGAATGCCCTTATGAAGCTTGACCCAGGTTGCAGTACAGTGAATTGCTTGGTACGGCCCTTCTAGCCATAGTCTTTGTGACTCCCACCCAATGACTAGGTGGGACTGTGCAAATGTGAGGTGCTTGTAGCCTACCAAGGGGATTGGCTAGCTTATTAATAATAAATAAGTAAATAAGGTGATGGCACCCTTGAGGGAGCTGGACCATGGAAATACGATGTACGGAAACCTAACATGGGGGCCAGTCAGTTTTGCCATCTCACTGGGCTTAAAATGAGCATTCCCAGTGTCAGAAAGGGGATCTCACTACCATCAAGAAAGAAGAGCCAGGAGTGGAAGACAGTCTTTGGACCCAAGATTCCTGTGCTGAACCCCCTCAACCTGAGAGAAGACGAGAGAGAGAGCTGTAACACTTTGTTGAGACAGAGATGGCAAGAAACAACAGCAGAGAAACGGTGGCAGCAGACCTGACAGGAGTCAGCCCAGGGGGCCCTGGACCCACAGAGCTAGAAAGCTGAGTACCTCAGGCTGATGTTTACTGGCAGAGTAGGGCGCCTCTCGGCTAAAAGAGCTTTATAACACTTGCCCGAGCAGGACCGAGGCCAGGCTGAGGGGCTGAGGGCCAGAGAGAAACCTGCCTTCTGGAATGGCTGAGGGAAAACTGTCCTAATCAAAAACTGTATCTTGATTTATTTCTGAACCTGTTACTTCACTCATAAAGCCCATAGTTGTGAGTATTGCCTGTGACTTCTGTGTGGCCATTGCATTGATTTCTTGAACCCAGCAGAGTGGAGTGCTGTGGGTGGGATGGTTGGTGCCAGAATCGGTAAAAAGGTTAGACATTGGTGCATGTTTGACCTCTGCCTCATAGGTATCAGCCTTGGGCTGTTGATCTTGATCCTCCACCCACTTTGTGAAAAGGAGGTGGACTATCTCTACCACACCCTTTTCACACAGGTTCTGAAATTTGCATTTCAGGCCTCTGACAGGTCCAGAAGGAAAACGAAACTGTCAGAAACTGGATCACCATCTTGCTGGAAGGATGGCTTTGGTAAGTGCTCCAGAAAGATTTCTACAGCTTTTATTTCAAGCAGCAACAGTAATCTTGTAACTGGTGGTTATGCGTGTTTTCCTCATTGATCAGAGGGGACACAGGGTTGAGGAGGCCGGAGGGTCCGGTTTTCTCAGAGACAGTGGAGGGAAGAAACCACGGTGCTGGACCACGAGTGCAGAGGCTTCCCTGCCTCTGTGGTCGTGTGAGGCTGAGGAGCAACGCGCCCTGGGCTCGGGTTTAGGGTTTTCCAAGCGTTCATCCAGCCATTCAGTCCTGAGGAGCCCACGACCCAGGATCCACGCCCTCAGTCACACTCTCCTCAGTGGGCCTCTGGAAGCAGAGGAAGGAGGGTCCAGGGAATTGGTTTCCAGCTGTGTGGAGATGTCGTGTTGGGTTGTCAGGAAGCTGTTCTTGTTTGCTCCCACCTCGAACCCTGTCAGCGCTTCAACTTTTCCTTTCATCCCTTTCCTGAGGATTCCGTATGTCACTTTTTCCTTCAGACTTGATAATAGCCACATCTCCTGAATGCTGGCTCCATCCCTTCGACATCTGCTAGAGGCTTCAATTTAATCTTGGCAGTAACTCTGTCTGGTCAGGTAGGAATGGTTACTCCCAATTTTATGATAAGGACACTGGTGCTCTGGTAAAGTAACTTGCCCAAGAGGCAGAGAGGGGATTTGAAGTTAGTCTGACTCCAAAGCCTTTACTTAATTTTTATTTATTTTTTTTAATTCCTCAAGAAATATATGATGCATTCTCCTTGTTAAAAATAAAATAAACCCAAACCAAAACTACTAGCACTAAGGCTAAAGCCCCTTTCACTATCCCTCCCTTTGTAGGTACTTCCTCCTCTCTACAGCTTGACATGTGTCCTTGCAAGTATATTTTACACATTTATGTAGATAAATGATAGTGCTCCATATGTATTCTTTTGTGAGTTTGGGTTTTGTTGTTTTTCATTTAGTTCTCCCAATGTAGCTCATGCAGGAAATTTCCCTTAATTTACCAGTTTTTAGAATAATCTGATGAGTCCCTGGCATCCTCTAGGAGTTTTTAAAAATAGCATTAAGAATTCGTAAACACTAATATATTTGAAAGGAGGTCTGGTGGCATACTGGGTAAAGCATTAGGCTGCTAACCAGAAGGTCAGCAGTTCAAATCCACCAGCTGCTCCATGGGAGAAAAATGAGGCAATCTACTTCCATAAAGACTTACAGCCTGGAAACCCAGTGGGGTCGCTATGAGTCGGAGCGGACTTGATGGCAGTGGGTCTGGTTTGGAATATCTCTAACGTGTTCCAATCTATGTGCAGTTATGATTACTTCTTGTTTTGTTTTGCTTTGATTCCTGCCAACCCTGTGGGGGTCAGAGTAGAATTGGGCTCCACAGAGTTTTCTTTTTTAAATCGTAATTTTAATTGTAAAAGTTTACAGAGCAGATTAATTCTCCATGTAGCAGTTCATTCACATTTTTTTGTTTCATGACATTGACTGCAGTTCCCACAATGTAATGGCTCTCTTCCCACCTCCTGCCTGTGATCACCTTTTCCCTGTGTCCTTCGCTGTGCATTCCTGCCTTCCGAGCTCTCGCTCTGCACAAATGCTGCCCTTCTCATCTCCCACGGTTGGCTGTTCTACGCAGTGAACCTATCTGGTGTCCATGTTCACCCTATCTGCCTGTCTATTGTTTGGATGGAAGGCATAGGGCTGAGTTCATTTCCAGGCCTGAAGGGGGACCCCGGGCCATAGTCTCAGGAGCCTCACCAGGCTCTATCAGACCAGGAAGCTGCTCTTTGTTATGATTGTGAGTTTTGTTCCACGTGTTCCTCCTACTCTATCCAGAATCTCCAACACTAATCCTTTTCCAAGTGATTAGTTGTTACTCTTTTTGAGGCTCAAGTCCTCCCATGTTTGGTCAAGTGGACTCCTGACCCCATAACCAAAGATTTCGCTTTTAACTCTGTCTTCCTGCCAGGCTTTCAGTCGACTGGCAACCTCACCACTCCCAGCAGTTCAACTGCCTGGTTAGGAGGTCCTGCCCTATGTGACCCAGCTCATGTAAGCCAAGGGGAGGATAGGTGGTGGCCGGCCTCAGAGTATTCCTGAAACTGAATTCTTGTGGCTGGAGCATTGCCCACATCTGACTGGGGTCAGGAAAACATGCCGCCCGCTCACCCAGGACTCCAGAGGGGCGTCGCCACCCCACCACTGACTCCCAGCCACACCCTGTGATCCTTCTCCTGGAGGAGAGCCTGGAGCCGTCTGCCTCAGGCCTGCCTGGGATCATTGAGGGCACAAATGTTATAGTAAAGAAACCAAGGATCAGGAACAACTTGATAACAGATATAAAACTAGTTGAGACCAACCAAGAATCAAAGCCAGGACGTCTGATCTGTTGACTGAGGGCCCTTTCCAATATGAATTCAGATCAAGGCTTCAAACTTGCTGTTCTGCTCACTAGGTAAGGATCCTTGCCAAGTGACCTCACCCTCCTGTGACTGTCTCCTTGTCTTTCAAGTGGGGTGATGATGCTCTTTCCCAAAGGAGAGATGGCCAATGTGGGTCAAGTGCTCAGGACCACATCTGGCACGTTGAGCTTTGCAAGTCGGAGTCCTGAAACTCAAGCCTCACTCAGGCCCAGCTACATGGCTGGTGGACCCTTACAAGGCACTTTAGTTGTTCTGGGGAATCATACACTTGCTCACTGACACACACATGCTCCATGGGTCCAACACGCTCACACCTAGCTGTGCACACTGGCTTCATAGCCCTTCTCTCCAGCTCCTCCTTCTCCCCTGAACACATTTCCAGCCCCAGCAACCCCAGTAAAGGGGAGGAGCCTCTGTCTGTGTGAAAAGAGCTCCCCCTGCCTGTTTGCTGCGGTGATGACCTGGGCTGAGGGAGTTCTGAGATGTTCCCTGGGAGGATTCAACTCTGCCTTCTCTGTTCTTTCTGTTGCAGGACACACCAAGACTCGGAGACCTGATTGAGATTTTTCGCTTTGGCTATGAGCACTGGGCCATCTATGTGGGAGATGGTTATGTGATCCACCTGGCTCCTCCAAGTAAGATGAGATTTTCTGTTTAAACATGAATGTTGAGTTTAGAAGTGTGGACACGTTCACAATGAATGACTTGCTTGCTCTCATTTCAGTGCCTGCACATAGTAGGCACTCTGAACATTTGCTGAATGACTCATGCTCTTCCCTGCTGAGAGCATAAACTGCCATCCCTCTTTACCATTAGTCTGTGGACCTTTCACCTTTTTCCCTTATCAAATGGAGTTCACTTCCAGCCACTCCACGGTACTTGATAAGCATCCTGCACGTGTTCCATATCCTATGTGTTTGCTGTTCAGGAAGTTTAGGAACAGTCCATGAAACAATAATTTCCTTCCAATAGTTGACAACAGGTGTTTAAAACAGTGCCTCAAACCAAACTCACTGCCTTTGAGTGGATTCCGATTCATAGTGACCCCCATTGGGTTTCCAAGGCTGTAAATCTTTAAGGAAGCAGACTGCCTCATCTTTCTTCTATGGAGCAGCTGGTGGGTTCAAACCACTGACCTTTGGGTTAGCCACCAAATGCCTTAACCACTACACCACCAGAGCCCCTTAAAACAGTGCCTAGTATAATAGAAGTAGCATGGACCTCCTAACTAGATAGAACTGGTCAGAATCCTGGCTCCCCCACTTACCAACTGTGTGACCTTGAACATGTGACTTCACCTTCCCTAGTTCAGCTGCACCCTCTATAGGGCAGAGATAAGAATACCTGTCTCCCAGGTCATGGAGGGATAAAGTATGCATGAAAGCACTGGTGCAGGGCTAGTGACTGGATCCGCCTCCCCTTCCTTCCGAAGCATCACAGCATTGAAGACAATGCTGAAGGGCCTTCACAACCCTGAGACCAGAAGCACTAGATGGTGCCCAGCTACCAATGCCAACCAGTCAGAAAGGGACCAAAATTGGAGATCCTGGTTAGAGTGAGATGAAAAATGTGGGAAAAAATTCAAAAACACAAAAATGCCCAGAATTACTGGTTGGATAGAGATCGATGGAACCCCTGAGACTATGGCCCTGGGTTATCCTTCAGGCCTAGAAATGGACTCACTTCTATGGATTGGCTCTCAGCCCAACATAGAAAGACGTACATGCAGAACACCTACCCCAGGGAGAAGCACCCACCTACCCTAGAGAGATGCACCCCTTAGATCAAACAGCCATGAGATATCAGAGGGGTAGCATTCACGTGGGAGCTTTGGTGGTGCAGTGCCTAAGGCATTTGACTGCTAACCAGAAGGCTGGCAGTTCAAACCCACCAGCCACTCCTTGGAAGGAAGGTTGGGCAATCTACTTCCGTAG